CTCATTTTCACAGCTTCTAGTCACTGTAGTGCTGGAAGCCCCTGCCAGAAAAATCAGGCAAGAGAAAGAAAAAAAAAAAAAAAAGCATCCAAATTGTAAAATAGGAAGTTAAATTGTCCCTCTTTGCAAATGACATCATCTTATGTATAGAAAAACCTAACAACTTCATATGCACACACACACACACACACACACACATACACACATACAGTTTCCATCTGAGAGCTGATAAACACATTCCCTAGGTTGCAGGATTCAAAATCAACGTGGAAATATCAGTAGGATTTCTATGCACCAAAAACAAACTAGCTGAAAAAGAAATCAAGAAAGCGATCTCTTTTACAATAGCTAACAACAACAAAAATACTTAGGCATAGATTTAACCAAAGAGGTGAAAGACTTCTACAAGGAAAACTACAAAACACTGATGAAAGAAACTGTAGAGGACACAAACAAATGGAAAGACATCCCATGCTCATAGACTGGAGTAATTAATATCATAAAATAGACTGGAGTAATTAATATCATAAAATAGACTGGAGTAATTAATATCATAAAAATGACCATAGTACACATAGCAATCTACACATTTAATGCAATCCCTATAATAATACCAATAATATTCTTCACTGAAATATAAAAAAAAAATCCTAAAATTTGTATTGAACCACAAAAGGAGCCCAATAGCAAAAGCAACTCTGAGCAAAAAGAACAGAGATGGAGACATCACATATACCACGAAGCTATAGCACCCCAAACAGAATGGTATTAGCATAAAAACAGCCACATGAACGCATGGGACAGAATAGACAATCCAGAAATAAACCCATGTGTTTACAGCCAACTGATTTTCCACAAAGGTGCCAAGAACATACATGGGGGAAGGACAGTCAATAAATGGCGCTGGGAGAATGGAGCATCCAGGGGCAGAAGAGAGAAACTAGACTCCCGTCTCTCACCATAAACAAAAATCAACTAAAAATGGATTAAAGACTCAAACACAAGACCTGACACTACAAAACTACTAGAGGAGAGCAGGGAAACTCCTCCAGGACATTGGACTAAGGAAAGATTTTATGGCTAAGATCTCAAAGTACAGGTAACAAACAAAAATAGGTAAATGGGATTATATTAAACTAAAAAGCTTCGGCAAAGCAAAGGAAACAATCAACAGAGCGAAGAGGCAACCTGTTGAGGAGGAGAAAACTGCTCCTGCTATTCATTTGACAAGAGATTAATATCCAGAATGTACAAGCAACTCAAACAACTCAACCCCTTAAAACAAATAATCCCATGGAGCAGTGGGCAAAGGGTCTGGATAGATATTTCTCAAAAGAAGACATGCAAACGGCCAGCACTTATGCTAAAAAAAAAAAAAAAGCTCAGCATCACTAATCATCAGGGAAATACAAATCACAGCCACAGTGGGATGTCATCTTACCTCATTAGAGTGGCTATTATCAAAAGCACAAAAAATAACAAACACCGGTCAGGATGTGGAGAAAAGAGAACTCATACCAAAGGAAATCAGAGAATCCTGTAAAACAAATGGATAGCGCGGTTCCCTTCCAAGTCAGCTAATCACTGCTGAGCAATAGGTAAACATAGACACAAATCAAAGAGAATTACTGAGCAAGAAAAAAAATTCTCCCCACACCAATAACAGCTCAATATTAATAGCACAAAATTATAATCACTTTCATATTCAAGAAACAGAGTTATCGTCAAAGCACAAAGGCTTAGAAGCCTTAGAGCAGATGTGTGTCTTCAAATTCCACTTTCTATCATCTACGACCTATAATTTTCTAATATATCTTTAAAATTATCATATGCCTTATGACTAAGCTTTAAAAAGTGAGTAGAGGAAAAAACCGTGACAAACACACAAAATGGGTGGTGAGGGTTTTTCTTTTTCACCTTTTTACATTTCCCAGATTTTCTAGAATGTGGTTGTGTTTCTGTGATGATCAGGATGCAGACCCAGGCTGTGCACGCATGCGACTGTGTACCTCCGTTCATCTGTTCAGGTGCCTTGTCAGGGGTGGAAATATCTGGGGCCTTTTCCTTTCATCTTTCATTCATTTTCAACAACTCTACGAAGAGCAGATTGCAAGTGTTCATTTTAACTGAGTTTAAAAAAATTTTTTCCCTTTTGCGGCTTTTTGGGGGGACCGGGGGGGGCTTGGTTTGTTTTGATTAACCCTTTTTGGCCTTTCCCCGGGGGGGGGCTCCCGTGTCAGCGGCCAGAGTCTTCCTCCCCGCCCCCCAGCACCATGCAACCAGCCGGGTGTCTGCAGATCCGGCTCAATCCAGAGCGTCTGTCCTGTGAAACTCTTGGACCCAGGATGGGATCACTGCTCGCCAGCCCCAAACAAACGAGTGCAGGGGGAACTCGAGGGTGGATGGCTCCTGCCTGCGTGTCTGAGATAGAGACCGTCCGGACGACCTTCTAAATGACCTCACGAGAAATTCTTGCTCTGGGACTGCAGAGGTCTGGGCGAGACGCTCTAGAGAGGGCACCTGCCCCGCAAGGGCGTCTCCAGCAGTGAGCGGACACCTGCTCTCAGGTAGCAAGTGAGAGCTGCACCTTTGCCCAGGAAGCCTCCCTCCTTCCCTCCCCAGAATAAATTCCACCTGTCGGGAGATGTTTTCCTCTGATTTTTTTTTTTCTGTTGATCATCTCACGACCACCCGGGCCTCTCAGAGTGAAGGTCTCGTGGGCTGTTGAGCCACACGCATTGCTCCAGAGCGGCTTTGTCTTCATCGCTTCTTTGGCAGCTTTCGACTGCGTCGTGAACAGAAGGAAGGAGACCCTGTTCTGGTTTTTGCCTCCTCTGAGACGGGTGTCTGTGCAGTGGCAGCGCCGGTGGCTGTTGGTCCTCAAGGCGCTGGGCTCCGCGCTCCTGCTGCGAACAGCCGGACCAGGACGGGCTGGCAGGTGCAACCACGGGGCTTGGCTTGGGTTCAGCTGGTAGGAGCACGCCCCTCGCTCCCACAAGCTAGTCGCGCGACGTAAAACTGGGGCCAGCGTTGGAACCGTGAAGCTCTGCTTTCCACAGGGCGTCGCCCCTCCGACCGGGGTTTGCACAGGTGCGCGGCACCTGCAAGGAGCTCCTTCAGACGCACCCCTGCCCCAGGCGCACGGGGCGGTGGGGGGGCCCCGCAGACCCTCCTGCCTGTGAAGGTGGGACAGACAGGCCAGAGCGGACCCCGCCCCACTGCAGTGCTGACATTGGCCAGGGCCGTTTCCAAGTCCTCAGAGCTGTGTCGCTGGGCCTCGCTGGCCCCAGACCCCCCCGACCCCCCATAAGCAGCGGCTGCATTGGCGTCTAAGGGTCGACCGGAGCCGCCTCCTGCCCTCAGCATCCTGACGCCGGTTCCTCTTGTCTAATCTCTGTCCGTCCCGTGCCCAGCTGCCACAAATCTTCTTAAAGCTTTCATTGTGAGGACCTTTTACGGGTCAACTTCCGCCCACCCCGCTAGACAAAGGTCCCTCCTTCCTCCCGCCCACGTGGACCCTCCGTGTTGAGTCTGCCAGGACCAGGAGGACCCAGACTCTCTTGGGAGGCCAGGGGCCACCTGCTGGGAGCTGCGGCTGCACCTGCAGACCGTTGGCTGCCGTGTGTCCCCTCCCGGACTGTGGGTGCCGCCCTCCTCGTTCTGAGAATCTGGCAGAGAAACGTGGACCCTCCGTGGCTCCATGCCTGCCTGGAAGCCGTTCCGCAGCCGTGTGTCCCGGCTGTCTGGAGAGGCGGGACTAGAGGGGGTTTTACATTCACTCCCCCGGGCCTGGGTCCCCGTTACCCGTCAGTTCCCTCCCAGCTTCCTGTCGCCTCAGTTTTGCATCCGTAGGTTGAGGAGGATCCACATTCCCGTCCTCAGTTCCCAGCGTGTGCCGTGCAGGCAGGTGCGGCCGTCAGCGAGCACAGCCACCTGGCGCTCCGTGGGGACGTGTCCTCCTCGCCCAAGCAGACCCGAGAGAGTCCCCAGGCCCGTGTGGCCTCAGACCGGGTCCCTGTGAAGTAGATAGACTAAAGATGGCACCTGTAAATCTAAAATGGAGTCAGTCTTGCTCTAACTATTAGTGAAAGTTCCCAGAGAGGGAGGAGGGAGTCGAGGAGGCCTGTTCCCAAAAGGAATAGAGAGGTCCTGTTCCAGGAAAAGTCCCTTGTCCCTCAGTGCACCTTTCCATCGTTCGCTTGATTAACGACTAACCGCAAAGTTCTGCTTCTGCGATTGCTCGCTTGCATAGCTGCCAGCCCCTAGGGTATAAGAAAACCGCAAAGGCTTTGTTCGGGGCTGCTTCCCCCTCCTTGCATGCAGTGGTGACGGCCCTGTGCAGGTGGAAATAAACTGATCTGGCTGATTGGATTCCGGTGTCTGAGTCCCCTTGATGCGCTGGTTTACAGCACCTGCCCGCGGCCGGGGGTCAGCGCTGGCCTCCTGTGTGGAGCCGGGCTGGGAGCAGGGACGGCCCGGTGGCTCCTGCTCAGAGTCCACCCACGCTGGGAGCGTCCACGTCCTTCCCCGCAGCCCAGGTCTGACCCGCTGTTCGTTGGGCGCGGTGGGGCGTTGTGCCTGGAGGTGAAGTTGTCTGCCCGGGCCTGTCCCCGTCCCCGACCGTCTTCCTCTCAACCCGTCCCCTCGAGGCCTGTCCCCACCCTGTCCGCTGGACAGACAGGGGTTGGCCACCGCCACTGGAGAACAGGGGACAGCCAATCTGTCTGGACGTCCCTGTGTGTGCGGCTCCCTCCAGACTCAGTTTCCCCATTCTCCTCCTGTCAGCCTTCCACTCCTGGGTGCAAGGCGTGGCTAGAAAGGGAGGAAATTATTGAAATTCAAGCAGAGGAGCACTTAATCTCTTTCTAGACCTTTGAATCTGGTGTGCCCTCCTTGTTGGTGACGATGTTATTTCCGTCGTTCCAGGAGCTGCGGGCGGAAGCCTCCCCGGCACGGCGCTTTCCGGCTGAGCCTGTGACTCGGTTCTCTGTTTTGCGCAGACGCCGTCCTCGCCATCCTCGCCCGCCGCTGACAAGCCAAAGTACGAGAAGCGCTGGCGAGACTGCTGGTCGGTCCCCCTGTCGCTGGCCCGGGTCTGCAGGTACAGCGCCAGAGCGGGAGGATCCAGGTGTGTGGCCGCCTCGGGGACGCGGGTGTCTGGTGAACCGCGTGCGCTTTGCCGGGTCCTGCAGCCCACGGACTCCCCGGGTGTGCGTGCTCGGCAGGTGCACCTGCCATGCTCAGGTGGATTCCGTGTTTGGGGAGAAAGTTAAGGTGGGGGAAGACTAAAGCAGCAGTCTGAACGGCGGCTGACTTACCGCTGGGAACAGCTCTGTCCGTGGCAGGTGACCGTTGTCGGCTCTCGTGAAATGCCCTTAGAGAGAGAGATTCTATCTCCAGTTTTAAATGCTGGCAGAGTTAGGCTGGAAATAAAAACCCGCATTCTTGTCCAAGCTGCAGATGATCGTAGAGAACTCATTAAGCTCTCCCACCCTTCCTCTTCCTTAACAAAATGCGGGGTTAGATGGGCTCCTAGTCAAACAAATGCTCCTGGTCTGGGCGCTCGGCCATCGGATGGTTTCCAAGACGAGCCCACAGGTTCACGTCTCCGTAGCTGCTTTGCTGGAGATGCGCCGGGCTAACCGTGCTCTTTAGTCGCCGTGGAGAGGCCAGGACGTCACGACGGGCTGAATCCCCTTTCTTCAGCCTTAAGCAAGGTGTGTGCAAGTGGCAAACCTGTCAGCCTCACTGTCCGCAAGGGAAAAGCAGTTTGTTGTTTTTAAATCGAACATTATGTGTCTTAATGTGTGTGTGTCTGTGGTATATGTGTGTATGACAAACATGTATAGTGAACATGTATGTGGTGTGTGTGAGTGTGACACATGTGTATGGTGAACGTGTGTGTGGCTCATGCTGTTTCTGTGGCATGCATGAATGGTGAATGTGTTTTGTATATGGTATGTATGTGTGTGACTGTGACATGTGTGTATGGTGAACTTATATGTTTTGTATGTGTTGTGTGTGGCCGTGACATGTGTGTATGGTGATCATGTGTGTTTTGTATGTAGTGTGTGACTGTGACACGTGTGTATGGTGAACTTATATGTTTTGTATGTGTTGTGTGTGTGACTGTGACACAAGTGTATGGTGACCGTGTGTGTTTTGTATGTGGTGTGTGTGAGCGTGTGACACACATATATGTGTGAACACGTGTGTGGGGAAGCACATGGCCTGAAGCCCCGCACTGCTCCGTGCGTGGAGGGCAAGTCCCCCAGCGCTGCTCTGCCCGGAGGCTAATTAGGTCTCGGCGATGGCCGGCATTGGCCGTGCAACCGCGCACCGTGGATGCGCCTGTCTGAAGGGCGTCTGCAACGCCAGCACAGCAACGGGGCCTCTACACTTGATTCCCCTGCGGGGTGTAGACTCGCAACCTGCCAGTGGTGTAGACGTGTGGGGTGTAGACCCACAACCTGCCAGTGGTGTAGATGTGTGGGGCAGAGACCCTCAACCTGCCAGTGGTGTAGACGTGAGGGCATAGACCCTCAACCTGCCAGTGGTATAGACGTGTGGGAGGTAGACCCGCAACCTGCCAGTGGTGTAGACGTGAGGGCATAGACCCGCAACCTGCCAGTGGTGTAGACGTGTGGGACAGAGACCTGCAACCTGCCAGTGGTGTAGACGGGCCAGTCTCCCCCTGGTCCCGTGTGATGGTACTGAGCTGGGACCACGGCCGTGGGGGGTGGCACCGAGTCACAGGGTGGCTCTGGGTCCCCCGGGACCGATGTCTGCAGGCCTGCCTACCGAGGCACCGGGGTGCGCGGCTCCTTCCGGAACCCTGCTGGGTGGTCTCGGTGGCAGGATCAACGGGTGTGGCTGAGCCCTGTGGTGAGGGGAGCCGTTTCCAATCTGCAGCCGGGACCACAGCCGGCCTCCCGGGGGGTGAGGGTCTGCCCCGCAGAATGACCCTCGGTCTCAGGCCCGCCAGGGTTCCCGGCCCTGCTCGAGGCCCCGCTCCCCAGAGGGCCACTCTTGTCTGGGGTGGTGGTGACGCCGAGTTGGGCGGGCCGTGGGCGGGACCCGCGGTTCTGCCGAGCGCTGCCTCACCCCGGGGCTGTGTGGTTTGTTTGTTTAAGCAATTGGACGATAATGGTTGAGGTTACTGAGTTTCAGAAAGTTTGTTTTTGAAAGACTGAATCATCCGAAATGCTTACGTGAGAAACGTCAGGGCTGCTCAGAGCAGCGGTTCTCGTGTTCCTTCGCCTCCAAAGCGCCGTGACAGCCGGCGCTGCCCGGAGCCGCCGCCTCTGTCCGCTGTCCAGGGGGTTATTCTCGCTCGGTTCCCGGGTAAAACTGCAACCATGCTCTCAGATAAACCGTGCATCACTGTGGATGAAGAGTAAACCGACGGCTACAGGGTCCAGAAGCAGATTGCTCGATAAGAATTTGAGGAGATGATATTAAAACGAAACTGTAACAGAGGAAAGCGCAGCAGGTGCGTGTCCTGCAGATACCAGCAGACCACACGGGCCGGGCCGTTACCTTGGGCGCTCACGCAGGAAAGCAAACCGGGTCTCCTGACACTGGCACGCAGTCACGAAGCATCACAGGTTACTCTGCACCGTCCTGTGGTTTTTGCCTGTCATCGACGCGTCAAGACATTTCTCCCACAGCAGGTGGAGAAACGCGTGATTACTGACGGGGCCGTACGGCTACGACTGAGGCCGGACTTCCGCTTAACTCTACCAGGTCAGCTTTCTCTTGCTGTGTGACAAAGTCATCCAGACTCCCTCCGCACGAGACAAGTTTATTGTCCCACAGTGCCCCTGCGTCAGGAGCCCGGCCTGGCCTGGTTGGTCCTTTGCTCAGGGTCCCACCAGGCTGGAATCAAGGCATCGGGGGGCTGCTCCCCCACTCGGGGCTCACTCAGGGTTGGGGGCAGAATTCAGGTCCCTGCCCTTTATCAGGTTCAGTTCCCGTCTTCTTGCTGGCTGTCAGCGGAGGGGCCACTCTCCAAGACTGGGGCCACCTGCGTCCCTGCCGTGGTCCCTCCACCTTTATCCATGACCAGAGCCACCTGCGACCCTGCCATGGTCCCGCCACCTTTATCCATGACCAGAGTCACCTGCGACCCTGCCATGGTCCCTCCACCTTCATCCATGGCCAGAGCCACCAAGTCCCTGCCATGTGTCCCTCCACCTTCATCCATGGCCAGAGCCACCCACATTCCTGCCATGTGTCCCTCCACCTTTATCCATGGCCAGAGCCACCACATCCCTGCCATGTGTCCCTCCACCTTCATCCATGGCCAGAGCCACCCACATTCCTGCCATGTGTCCCTCCACCTTCATCCATGGCCAGAGCCACCACGTCCCTGCCATGTGTCCCTCCACCTTCATCCATGGCCAGAGCCACCACATCCCTGCCATGTGTCCCTCCACCTTTATCCATGGCGAGAGCCACCCACGTCCCTGCCGTGGTCCCTCCACCTTTATCCATGGCGAGAGCCACCCACGTCCCTGCCGTGGTCCCTCCACCTTTACACATCCCTGCCATGTGTCCCTCCACCTTTATCCATGGCGAGAGCCACCCACGTCCCTGCCGTGGTCCCTCCACCTTTATCCATGGCCAGAGCCATCACATCCCTGCCATGTGTCCCTCCATCTTTATCCATGGCCAGAGCCACCCACGTCCCTGCCATGTGCCCCTCCACCTTTATCCATGGCCAGAGCCACCACGTCCCTGACGTGGTCCCTCCACCTTTGTCCATGGCCAGAGCCACCCACGTCCCTGCTGAGGGTCTCCCACCTTGGGCTGACAGCAGGTAACTGCTTCTGCATTGATCCCCCAAGAGCTTTGAGTCCCCAGCTTCCCCCCCTAGCCCAGATGGAAAAGGCTCGTGTGTGTAGGTTGTGCACCTGGAGAACCCCCTCATTGAGGTCAGCTGATTCGCAACCTTAATCACATTGTGAAACCCCTTCCCGGGCACACCTGGGCTATGTGGGTTGAATGACCTGAGCAGCTGTCTGCTCCAAGCTGGGAGTCTGGGCCGTCCCGAGTTCTGCCTTCTGTAGCTATCAGCCAGGTTCCGCTCTGCCAGCCCAGGGCACGTCCACCTGCGCCTGGCGTTTGTCCTGTCGTGCCGTCTCTGGCCTTCAGCTGGGGGCAAACGCGCCATCACCGGCTGCCGTGGAGCGCAGGCCGCGCTGGGACTGCAGGACCCGCGTCCGAGCCAGCCCTGCACACAGACCCGCGCGTTCCCGGACATAGAAGTGTGAGGGAATTCCGAACAACACGAGAGACGTGTTCGCTCTCAGAAACGCCCATGATGGGGCTAGGCACGAGGGAGCCTGGACAAGGCGTGAGGGGCGGGCAAGAGCTCCGGGCGTGGACCGAGACCCCGGACTGACTTCACGGCCCTGACCAGGGGACTTGGGCCTGCTGGTGACTTCCTGGCTCGTGTGGCGGGTGCGGCGGGGCGGCGTTGGTGCTCGCTGGTTTCTGAGGGGCGCTGTCGAGATGGCGTCCAGTGCAGCTGCAGGTTTGGAGGGGCTTTGACGTGTCCTGAATCGACGCGGGATGTTGGGGCCTTTTGATTGTCTGTGGAATAAGGAACGAGTGGACGGACGGGAGAGAGTCGGGGGTGGGTGGCCACCCCCAGGAGCCCGTCCTGCACGCCCTCTGCCCGACACGGTTCTGCGCATGCGGCGCCTCTTGCTCCACGTTGGCGCCAGCGTGAATGAGGAGTCCCGGCCTCGATTCTTGTCCTAAAGCATGGACAGAGGGAAGGGGGAGGGCGGGCGGGGGAGAAATAACTACGGCTTTAGGGTCTTTTTGCCCCATGTCTATGGTGCTTTTTAAAATCTACTCGCCATCAAATTGGTGCTGACTGACTAACACTCTGGTTCTCACACGGTGGTGGTGTTCACCAGGGATTTGGGGCCGAGGGGAGGGAGAGGCCCCATCTTAGGGAGGTGGCGAGCATTTTGGAGGGGAAGGGAATAACTCTAACCCTTAGGGAGAGGCACAGATATACAATGTAACCAAAATGTTAAAAACAAACAAACAACAAAGAAAAAAAAAACTTTTCATCGGGTGGTGGGCAGGCGAGAGGGGGAGGAGGAGAGGGGGTGGAGATGGCGCGCTGCGGGTAAGCGCGCGGAGATGGCGCGTGGCGGGTAAGCGCGCGGAGATGGCGCTCTGCGGGTAAGCGCGCGGAGATGGCGCGTTGCGGGTAAGCGCGCGGAGATGGCGCGTGGCGGGTAAGCGCGCGGAGATGGCGCTCTGCGGGTAAGCGCGCGGAGATGGCGCGTGGCGGGTAAGCGCGTTCTGAGAAGTGACGCCGCGCGTCGGAGTTGTCCTGCCAAGTGCTCAGGTTGTTCTGTGAGGACAGCGTCACGTGTGGACACTCCTGCCACAAAGGGTCTTCCGTGGCAGGTGTCCTGGGCAGGAAAGGCTGGGAGCAGAGCAGCGGGGCGGCTGGGGCGGGGCCGCACCTGCCGCTGAGGGGAGGGGCTTGTGGGGTCTGTCCCGCACAGGAGGGAGGGGTCCTGCGGGCCTCGTCCAGCCGAGTTCTCATCCCGGGGGGAGAAGACTTGCGAAGTCTTGGCTCTGGGATGTTAAGGCCCTTTCTTCTCTTCCAAGCCAGACGGATGCATCAGCCGTCCCCCAGTTTAAACGTCTAGCTGAGTTTCCTTTCCTCTGCGAAGGGAGATTCGACAGGCTCTCCAGGTCTGAGATGAAAATACACGGAAAGGGGCTTTCGAAGCTGGAGGGTGAAAGAGACAAAACAGCAGGCGAGCCCCGTTTCCCCGGGCGCCTTCCCGGCTGCTGCTGTCCTGCGGCAGGTCACCCGCAGTCCGGGCCGGTGCCGGCAGGGTGGGGTCCTGGTGGGGGCTCATCCTGGTCGGGTGCAGATGCCCCTTCTCCTGGGCCCTCCCTCCTGGGGGGATGGGCGCTCTGGGCCCTTTGTGAGGTCCCTGGTCCCAGGCTGAGGCCACCACCGCCCCGAGGCCACACCTCCCGACACCTCCTCCTGGGGGGGTGAGTATTTAGGGGGACAGGGACATTCGATCCATTGCAGATTTGGCCCCAGCCTCGGGCTTGGGGTTCCTAGGGGAACCCTGCTCTCTAGGAGTCAGGACAACTTTCTAATTACTTTTGAGGTCCCACCTTTCAAAAACTGGGTTAAATTTAATTTTGTTTTCTATTGATGCCTCTGCCTAGCACGCTGTCTGGGCACCCCTGACCTGTCCGTGTCCCCAGGCGGGTGGTCTGTCTCTCACCTCTCGTTGGGGGTGGCCCCCCCCCTCGTGCCACCTGCTCCGGCAGCGCCTGCCCCTCCATAGCTCTCCCAGATGTCACCTCTGCGGAGCTTGTCCCCACGCCCTCGCCACCCCACAGTCTGTCCCCCGGAGATGCACAGCGTCCCGGCTGAGGGCCTCAGTGGCGCCGAGATGTTTGTGTTCACGCAGAGCGGCTCCCGGGCTCCCAGCTCAGCACCCTGCCTCCCCCCGCGGCTCCCTCCCATGGCGTTTCCATGGCCAAGATGACTCAAGGTGAGCAGTGGCTGCGTGGCTGGCTCACAGAACCTTCTAGAAGGTTTGATTGTGCCAAACACCACGGCAGAGATACGGCAACAACACGGAGTCGGGTGGGAGGCGGGGCCCTGAGTGAGCTGCACTGCGGACGGGGGTGGCGGGTCATGGCTTTGGCCGTTTCTGGCCGTGTGACCAACTTCGGGCAAATTGATTGATCTGGATAAGTCTCAGTTTCTTCATCTGCATAATTATAGCAACAGGACTTTCTTCGTAGGATCATTGGGAAGATTAAAACCAGTGCAACCTGTAAGGTATATCGTACACAGTGTTTGCTGCAAAGTGTAAATAATACCAGCTGGTCTTTTTATCATTGTCATACACGCCGTTGTTAGTAACACATGTTATTAATATCTTTCATCATCCCTCCCAAATGTATTGAGTGTTCAGCTTTAAAGATCCGTGCAGGAGTATAGAGAGAATCTGTTTCCTTCTGGTAAAAGGCCCAAGAACCCTGAACGGTGACCTGTCCCACAGCCGCGGCCGGGACCGCAGAGGCAGGAGGAGGGACGGCGGGGTAGGGCATGTGCTCTGCGTCCTGTGCTCCCGGGGGTCTTAACGTACTCTCTTCTGTGCCTCTGTGAGCTCCTTAGTGCGCTATCAGCACCTCTACCTGCACCAGACACGGTAAACCCAGGGGGGGCCGGCGGCGGCCCTGCCCCTCACCAAACCCTAGGACGGCCGCTGCCGTGTCGGCCCCGCTGGGCTGGCCGTGCCCGGTGTGCAGCCGCCGGCGTCCGGACAGACCTCTCGAACTCTGAGGGTCAGGAGACGCCGGGGACTACCCTGAGAAGACAGAGCTGAATTCCAACAGGCGGCACCAGAGCCCCGACCCTCCTCCCCCTCCCACGCCCTCCCACTTCTGACCAAGCCCCTCAGGCCCGGCGAGACCCCACCCACCTGCTCACCTGCTCACCTGCTCACCTGCCCACCTGCTCACCTGCTCACCTGCCCACCTGCTCACCTGCCCAGCTGCTCACCTGCTCACCTGCCCAGCTGCCCAGCCGCAGGCCTGGACCACAGCCGGGGAGGGCGGGAGGGACATGCCTGCCCGCCTGAGACCCGGACAGCCGGCACCGCCAGGGGCTCTGTTGAAGTGTCTCAATCCGGGCGTGGCTGCCCACGTGTGTGTGACGTCTGAGTGTCGCGTGCAGGCGTGTGAGTCGCGTGCTTTGTGTGCGTGCCGTAGCGCCAGGATGGTCTCTGAACTCTACGTTCGGGGCGCCAGGGGACTCCTCTGTAGTAATGATCGGCGTGGTCCAGTTGTTCCTTTGCCGTTAAATTAGGGTCGGCCTCGTTTTGCATTACGTACGCCTCACGCGTTAGCCGTGCCACAGCTGGGAGGGGAGGTCGAGACCCGACTCTGGGCCAGCCCTTGCCTCGGCGGGAGTCCGTGGGTCCGGGGGCGCGCTCGGTATTCCGTAAGCGGCTGATGGCGGGGAACGTGACACAGCGTGCCCACAGGGCCTCCCGGCGTCTGTGCATCGTGACGATTAACCCGCGGGCACTGACGAGGGGGCTGGTGTCTGTCGGCGCGGCAGGCGTCCACCGGGAGGACAGGTGGCCCACGCTGAGGACGCTGGCATGTGACGGGAGCCCTGCGCCCTCTCCCCGCCCCTCCTCTGCCCGCAGGGACCCCGTGACATCACACGGTCCCCCCTCCCTCCTCCTGCTCCACAGAGTCGTCCGCTCACACGCTCTCACCGTCCCCGTGTCAGGCCGTGCTGTGACGTGTGCCCACAGCTGGGACATCAGCCAGGCGCTCTGAGGCAGGAGGTGCTCGTGCCGGTGGGAGCGGCCCCTGCTCGGGGGGTTCTGCGTCTGCAAAGACGCCTGTGCAGTCACAGGGGTCCCGGTCTGGCAGGCTTGGCACGGACGGCAGGACCGTTCACAGCACCCCCACTCCCTGCCCTGCGTGCTCCCTTCCTAGCCAGGCGCCCCCGAAACTCTCCTCCGAAAGACTGAAGCACGCGTGGCGAGGACCTGGCTGTTAGAACATGTGCTTGTTTTGGTTTGTTTTTTACCTTTCAGTTATCTGCTCACGACTATGGAGGTTTGGGTTACAGTAATTAACATGCATTATTTTCTTTAAAAACACACAGCGGTGTGCACGGCACTTCCCTTTTGTGCGTAGTCACGTGGAGAGCGTCCGCTAGGGACTTGGCGTGGTGGGAAGAAGAGCCGCTGCATTCCAGGCAGCTGATCCGCAGCCGCCTTTGCTTTCCCAGGGTTGGATTCGTGGCAAGTCGACCGTCCCGGAAACGGCGGGAGCTCCCCTGTGACCGCAGTCACAGCCGGGTGCTGGGGGGCGGGGGCATCTCCTTCTCGCTCCCGGAGCCCAAGTACTCCGCTGTGAGTGCCCTTCAGAGGAATTATCCCCGAGGATCCTGTAAACAGCAACTCCGGGATTGCAAGAGCGAGCGTCCCTTCCCGTATGAGTTGCTTCTCATGTTTTGATCGAATTAGAAATGGCTCTTGTTGCAGAGGGATCCGAGTGCCAGCCTCAATTCCAGGAAGGCCGGTCAGTGCCCTGGGCTGCGGTGTGCGGTGGCCGCGGCGTCCTGTGGTGTCCTGTGGCGGACAATGCGAGCGCACCCCCGCCCTCGTGAGGCCGCAGCGCCGGGCCCCTGGGCAGCGTCTCCCCCTCCCCGCAGGTCCACCGCCCTCGAGGTGCGGGCCCCCGACGGCGCCAGCTCCGGAGTCCTCCAGTTCTACACGGCCCAGGACGGCGCCGACTGGCTGAGAGCCGTCTCCACGAACATCCGCGAACTTACCCTGCGGCACGTGAGCACATGCTTGCCCAGATCTCGCTGCTGCCCTTGTGCATGGAAACAAGGACGCGACTCGTGATTTGTGGTTAGCCCCAGAGCAGTGGGTTAGCTCAAGAGAGTGGGTTAGCCCTAGAGAATGGGTTAGCACAAGAGAGTGGGTTAGCCCCAGAGCAGTGGGCTAGCCCTAGAGAGTGAGTTAGCTCAAGAGAGTAGGTTAGCCCTAGAGAGTGGGTCAGCCCTAGAGCAGCGGGTTAGCCCTAGAGCAGCGGGTTAGCCCTAGAGAGTGGGTTAGCTCAAGAGAGTGGGTTAGCCCTAGAGATTGGGTTAGCCCTAGACAGTGGGTTAGCCCTAGAGAGCGGATTAGCCCTAGAGAATGGGTTAGCCCTAGAGAGTGGGTTAGCCCTAGAGAATGGGTTAGCCCTAGAGAGTGGGTTAGCCCTAGAGACTGGGCTAGCCCTAGAGAGTGGGTTAGCCCTAGAGAGTGGGTTAGCCCAAGAGAGTAGGCTAGCCCTAGAGAGTGGGTTAGCTCAAGAGAGCGGGTTAGCCCTAGAGAGTGGGTTAGCCCTAGAGAGTGGGCTAGCCCTAGAGAGTGGGTTAGCCCTAAAGAGTGGGTTAGCCCTAGAGAGTGGGTTAGCCCTAGCTAGACGGCACGTGGTTTAGCCCTAGCAAGTGGGTTCAGCCCTAGAGAGTGGGTTAGCCCTAGAGAGTGGCGTTAGCCCTAGAGAGTGGGTTAACCCTAGAGAGTGGGCTAGCCTAGAGAGTGGGCTAGCCCTAGAGAGTGGGTGTAGCCCTAAAGGGACCCGAGTGGGTTAGCCTAGAGAGTCGGGTTAAGCCTAGTGAGGTGGGTTAGCGCCTAGAGTAAAGTGTGGGGGTTGTAGCCCTAGAAGAGTGGGTTAGCCTAGGAGGCTAGCCCTAGAGAGGGGTTACGCCCTAAAAGAGTGGGTTAAGCCCTAGAAGAGGTGGGTAGCCCTAGAGAGTGGGTTAGCCCTAAGAGAGTGGGTTAGCCCCTAGAATGGTTAGCCCTAGGAGTGGACTAAGCCCTAAGAGAAGTCGGGTTAAGCCTAAACGAGTGGGTAGCCCTAGAGAGTGGTTAGCCCTAAGCAGTGGGTTAGCCCTAGAGAGTGGGTTAGCCCTAGAGAGTGGGTTAGCCCTAGCAAGTGGGGTTACGCCCCTAGAGAGTGGGTTAGCCTAGAAGAGTGGGTTAGCCCTAAGAGAGTGGGGTTAGCCCTAGAGAGTGGGCGTTAGCCCTAGAGACGTGGGTTGCCATAAAGAAGGACGGGTCTAGCCCTAAAGGGCGGGTTAAGCCCTAGAGAGTGGGTTAGCCCTAGAGAGTGGGGTTAGCCCCTAGAGAGTGAGCTAGCCCTAGAGAGTGGGTTAGCTCCTAAAGAGCGTGTACGTAGCGCCTGGATAAGCTAGCCAGAGAGTGGGTTAGCTAAAGAGTGGGGTAGCCCAGGAGAGATGGGTTAGCCCTAGAGAGTGGGTTAAGCCCTAGAGAGTGGGTTACGCTCAAGAGAGTGCGGTTAGCTAGAGAGTGGGTTAGCTCAGAGAGT